CCGTGTCTCCCGGCCAGAGTGGGCCGAGCAGGGCTCGAGCGCTACCGGCACGGGGGCAGCATCCGAGCCGCGGGCACCGACGCCATGCGCTGGGTTCGGACGCTGCTGAAGAATGCGTCCCTGGCAGGGGCGCCCAAGTACATCGAGCACTTCAGCAAGTTCTCCCCTTCTCCCCTGTCTATGAAGCAGTTTCTGGACTTTGGTATGGAGGGGTTGGGGGTGCCGCGCAGGAATCGGTCTCAGAAAGGAGGGGGGAGACTCAGAGAGGCCCTGAGTGGCAGTGAAAGCAAGAGAACAGGCAGGAAGGGGTTAACGGGCAGGCAGGGCTGACCAGTCCTGAAAGAGTGAAGGGTGCCCCAGGGGAGACTGTCCCCTGGGCTGTTTGTTAATGGGAAGGGGGCGCTGGGTAGGAGCTCGAGGTGTCCTCCTGAGGTCTTGGAGGGTAAGGGGCAGGATCCCATCCAGGCATAAAAAGCTAATAGGGGTTGACCTAGGGACACTTTAAGAGTGAAGACAGAGAGAAAATAGGGGAGCTGAGGGTGGGAGAAACAAGGTGGGGTTGGGAGGTGCAGCCCTCTGGAAGGAGACCTGGGCTGGACCCAAGAGTCAGACCCTCGGGGCAGAGCAGGAGAGAAAACCCGGGGCAGCTGGGGAAGGGGGCTCTGCCACCAGACCCAGTGCCCCTGGCTGGGGTTCCTCCACTCATTCTGGCTCCCTAGTGGGCAAGGACACTTGAAGATCAAATCTATTCCAGCCCGGTAGCCTGTTCCCAGCTGGGCTGAGGCCCAAGACAACTCTGAGGTGGTCAGGCTGCTTGTACCCTCCCTTGGCTAACTCTAGGCCCTGGGCTGCGATTGCCCCGCTCCCAGTATTCCAGAGGTGGCTCTGGGGCAGCAGGAGGCGGTGCCAAGGTGGCAGCTGTTACAGACATCGTGTGGGCCCCGTCTGCCCACGGGTATTTCCACGATGCCAGCCAGGGGTTAGGAAGGGAGCCCAGGTCTTTTGGGAGTTGAGTTGGCTGGCTTAGGTTACAGCTGTGTCACTGATGAGGGCAGGGAGGTGGCAGCCAAGGTAAATGGCACCTATGTCTTCCTGCCCCTGCTCTGTTTGAGTCTTGAACTTTGCCCATGTAGGAAAGTCTCCTGGGCCTGCTCCCAGCCCGTAGCACCCCGGATTGGACCCGTTACAAAGCTGTCACTGCTATGAGGGGTTCGGTCTGCTTGTACAGTAAGAGGGAAACTCAGGCTTTCAAAAGATAGTGGCCCAGGATTTAGCTCAGTGGCACTGCACCTGCTTCACAAGCACAAGGTCCTGGGGTCAATTGCTGGTTCTGGAAAAAAAGAATGGTGACGTGCCCTGATGCCCAGGGAAGAGAGCCTGGGCAGAGCCAGCTCTGCCTCTGGGCTGTGGCCTTGTCGGCCCTGTGCCTCCTCATCTTGACCACTGACCGAGGTCCCCACTTGCGTCGCAGATGGACTTTAATACAGAAACAATTCTGCAGTGGGGACCCATCACCTCCCCAGCCTGGTGAGGTGGCCTGGGACAGGGAGCTGGGTCCCTGCAGCTGAAGGAGTCTAGGCATAGCTCCCCCAACCAGGGCTCAGCCCAGGATGGAATTCCTGAGCCCCTCTGCCCCCTGGTCAGCCCCAGAACAGGTCCTGTGGGGAGGGAAGGAAAGCGATGTCCCTGGCTCCTTTCTGGGTACTCACACTCTCGCCACCCCACCCCCAGGGTCCAGCAATGCCTGTGAGAAGACTTCCTTCACCTTCCTCCGGCAGGAGCTGCCTGTGCGCCTGGCCAACATCATGAAAGAGATCAACCTGCTTCCGGACCGAGTGCTCAGCACACCCTCGGTGCAGCTGGTACAGAGCTGGTGAGACCACACCTGCTCCACTGCCCTGTGCCTTGGCTTGGGATGCAGTCTCCATACCCTTAGTGTGGGTGGGGGCCTCCAGGAAGCTGGGGAGTCACTCCAGGGCACATGGGGATCCGGGCCAGAGCAGGGGCGAAGGCCAAGCCCTTTGGGCCCGGTGTCTGTGGGTCAGCCCTAGTCTTAGCACCCTCCTTTCTCTGGGAGCCCAAGACCCACCCTGGAAGTCAAATTTCACAGGCAGATCCCCGAGGCAGGCTAAAGTCAGGAGTGGCCACCAGCCCTGCCCTGTCGGGCAATGTTTACTTAGGGCAACTTTTTGAGAAGCAGAAGTGCAAAGAAGGGAATTTTAGAACAAGTGATGTCATCCAGGCTACATATCTAAGTGTTTTGAATGTTGGAAAATACTCAGGCAGTCATGGGGTGACATGGTTCCTCCCCAAAGTGCTTTGGAGAGCAAAGACCATGTGGTTATTGCAGGTAGCTGTTGCAGGAGCAGGGAATCTTGGGAAAGTTCACTCGGGAGCACTGTCCAGGGTTAAGTAATGGATGCTGTCAGCCAATGGCCTGTCTCTTGGAGCATAAACAAGGGAGTGCCCTGTCTCTGGCTGTGTTGCTGGCGGATCTTCAGCAGGCTCCAGTGGTGCCCGGGCAGAGTCCTGTTTTCAGGACTTGCTGTGTGGGGTGACTGGTTTCCTCTCCAGTTGAGCACATTTATCCCCTCTGAGCCCAGCACCATGCTGTGTTTAAGATAGCAACAACGACTGCCCTGGGGAACCCCTGATCTCCAGCCACGACTGAGCCAGCAAAGTGCAGCCCAGGTGGTTGGTTTCACTTAAATGAACAGCCAGAATACTAAAGTAACCTGGATTGCTTCCTCCCCACCCCAACCCTGCTCCCTGCAGAAGTACAATGTGTTCATTTTGACACTCAGAAAACACAAAAACATAGATGGAGCGGGGCGTAGTCGTGCATATACCCGCAACCCAAGCCCTCTTGGAAGCTGAGGCAGGAGGTCACAAGTTCCAGTGCAGGTGGTGCAGCTTAGTAACTCAGGAAGACCTTGCCTCACGATAAAATAGAAAAAGGACTGGGGACGTAGCTCAGCATGAAGAACCAGGGTTCAGTCCCCATGTAGAAGAAAGATGAAAAAAGAAGTGGCAGTCACTACCCGCCACCATAACCCTGCTGAGGTTTCATGAGGATCCTTGGGGCGGCCCCCAGCACCCCTTCTGAGCGGGAATGAGAGTGCACCTGACTTACTCTGAGGAAATTTGCTACCATAGGGAACGGCGTTCTTCATGCAGCGCCAGGGATATGTAGTAGGTGCACGGTGAATGCTGGTCAAAGCAGAGGTTGTAGGAAAGTGGAAGTGGACACCAGAGGGGCCCAGAATGGAGGGAAGGGCCCGGTGAGGCCATCTGGGGACTCGCTCTATGGACAGGGGCTGGCAGGGCAGCAAGCTCTGGCGGTGGGGTTGGGGTGGGGGCAGACGGCAGAGTCTGAAGTTCATGTCGCCCAACCAGGTCATCCCTCACTGTGCCCAGGACCTCTGGGCCAACTGGCAGGACCCCCACAGGGTGTTGGAGCGGAAGAGGAGGAGTGGTGCCATCTGTTCCCCGGCTGAGTCCAGCTCACTGTGCTGGCTGCCACTCTAGCTGGTGCCTGACTCTAGGACTGGGCTTCCCAGGCCCTTACTGCATATGGTGCCCCTGGAACAGCCGGGGATGCAGGGGATCCCCCGCCCCGCCAAGTCCCCCAGGGCGCCTGCAGAGCCCCTTCCCGGAAGTGAGGGCTTGAAGTAATTCGAGGGAACAGCAGGAGCGAGTGCAGCAGCCGGCGGCCTGCGAGGCATCAACTCACTGAAGCAGTCACAGCTTCCTGCGAGTTTCCAGGGCCACGTGCATCTGCTACAGCAGGAGAGACTGTGGTGGGAGGCAGGAGGGACTTCCTGGGGGCAGGTGGTTGCCTGTGAGCGTGCAGAGTGCCTTCTCTGAAAGCATCCTGCAGCCTCTGGGATGATGGAGGTGGTGAAGAGGGCAGGGTTTGCGGGAGAAGAGGGAACAACTTGGGTGCCTCTAGTGAGGGTGCCCTCGAAGGAACAAGACCCGCTCTGGAAACTAGAAGTGTGCAATGCGGATGCAGGCAGAGCAGTGCAATGGTTTCTGCTAACCCTCAGCGAGCTTCTCCTCAGCCGGGGACAGGTTCTGGGCAGAGTTACCATCAATGAAGAATTCCTGGTCCCAGGTAGACCTGATGCGCTATTTCCATTGCACAGATGCGGTGGCTGGGCCATTATTAGGAGCACACAGGCAGGTGGGGGTGCCAGGGGTGCATCCAGGTCTCTCCCTTGCAGCCTGGCCCATGAGGGGCAGACAGGGCTTCCACACCCTGCTGTCCAGGGCGTGGAGGCCTGAGGCTGCCACCTCTCAGTCCCCATGCTGGTGGCACTGCCTGCTGTCAGCCCATCCTGGTGCGCTGTGCCTTCTGCCCTAGAAGGTTCACTGGGCAGCCCTGCCACCAGGCTCTGGGCGTCTGACCTACCTGCCCCTAGCACTGGCCAGCATGGGCAGGGGTCACCACCAACCCCCACTAGTCCTAGGTTCCAAGATGAGGCCCGGAGTCCCCTGTGTCCCTGTCTGCCCCCACACCGCACACACAGGTTCTCTGTCACATCCCCCGTCCTTCTGAGACTCCCAGGAGCTTGACGCTTCAGGGGATGAGTTTAGGGACACAGGACTAGGGAGTTACACAGGGTGGAGAGGGAATCCCGGCCCCACACCGAGACTGTCCTCTGGAAGCTGGGTCTAGCAGTAGCGCCAGTGGCCTCACAGGGTCACTGTGGAGGTTGGTGGGGGGCAGGAGAGCACAGAGCAGAGCCCAGGCAGCCACACTGGTGGGGCCCGTGCAGACAGAGCAGCCGGCCCCGTGGAGGAGGTCACCAGGCCTCCTCTCTGTGTGGCTGGAGGCTCAGCCCTGTCGGAGCCAGTCCTTGTCCACAGCAGAGAGGAAGAACTTCATGCACCCAAAGAGTGCTCAGTGTGTACAGACACTGCTGATGGTCAGGTTTTAAAAGCCCCGTTTTCTGATGAAACTCAGGCCCAGAGAGGCCCTGTGACTGACCCGGGGCCACACAGCTTGCTGGAAGACACTCCACGCCGGTTCTTTCACTCCATTCTCTGCTGTCTTAGCAAGAGAGGAAAGAGCATTCTGGGGTGAGGAACAGCGTAAATGGCTGCTGGGTGCAGTGTGAGGGAAGGGGCTCCAACAGCCCTTGGCCAGACTCCTCTCTGGGTCTGGGCCGTGGTCTCCTGATCTCCACGCCCATCCTGAGCCTGCCATTGACTGTAGGGTTCTAAAGCAGAGATGCTCAAAGGGGACCAGCAGACCAGATTTCTTTCCTTGCCTAGCTTACTGGGTTGTCAGGGAGGCTCGGTGCAGATGACCAGTCCCAGCTCCGTGTGGCGCCCACAGCAGGTACGGAACAGAGCGTCCAGCAAGGAGCGACTGGGACTGTGGCCCAGCACACAGCTGAGCCCGCGTCCCCTCCTGGCCCGCCAGGTATGTGCAGAGCCTGCTGGACATCATGCAGTTCCTGGACAAGGACCCTGAGGACCACCGCACCCTGAGTCAGTGAGTGAGGCCCGGGTGGGGCAGGAAGGCAGCTGGGGTTGCAGCCCTGGGGCAAAGGCCCTGGGTTCATTCCCCAGGAGGGAAAACAAAAAACCTGGAAGAGTCAGGGGCTGCGGCCCTGCAGGGTGAACATCTGCCCTCCCTGCAGGTTCACGGAGGCCCTGGTCACCATCCGGAACCGGCACAACGACGTGGTGCCCACCATGGCCCAGGGTGTGCTGGAGTACAAGGGCAGCTATGGAGACGACCCTGTCTCTGACCAGAACATCCAGTACTTCCTGGACCGCTTCTACCTCAGCCGCATCTCCATCCGAATGCTCATCAACCAGCACAGTGAGGCGGGGCCGGGACGGGATGGGGCGGCTGCTCAGGGCCCGTCACTGCCTCCCAGAGTGCTGCCCTCGGAGTGCATGTCCTCTTTTGGAGTTATTTGAAGGGGAGGAACTCACTTATGACACCTGTGATTTGTCAACAATCACAGTAAATTCTCCTAGGAAGAGAAACTAAATAACAAATGTCTGGAATGTAATAAAAGTTTTTAAGAGTGCTAAAATTGTCCACCACCTGTTATTCTAGCACTCTGGGGGGCTGAGACAGAAGGATCGAAAATTGGAGCCCAACCTGGACAAATCAATGACTTAGTGACATCTCATCTCAGAATTAAAACATAAAAATGGCCTGGGCAGGTGTAGCTTATCGTGAAGGTTCTGGGTCACTCCCCAGTATAAAACAAAACAAAACCTAAATTCAAAAGCAGCATACTCAAACCTGCAAAGGCCCCAACAGCCTGAGCCAGTGACGGCCGGCAGGACTGAAGGCTGCTGTGTTAGGATGGGAGCCGAGGGCAGCCTGGGAAAAGGGGGTGCAGGGACAGCTGTGGCTCAGCCCGCAGCACCCACTCTCTCCCCATAGCTCTCATTTTTGAAGGCAGCACCAACCCGGCCCACCCCAAGCATATCGGCAGCATCGACCCCCACTGCAACGTGTCTGAGGTGGTGAAAGGTGAGTCCCCTTCCCGGCCATGCTCTGCAGAGGAGCCCCAGCTGCCCTGGCCGGAGGGTGACCCATCCCAGCGGCGGGGCCTCGTCCCCAGGGCCTTGATGTTGGCGGTAGCCTGTGTCAGTGCTGGGGGTGCCTGCTGGCTGCACGCCTCTCTCCGTGCCCTGAGAACTCTGTCCCCTCTCAGATGCCTATGATATGGCCAAGCTCCTGTGCGACAAGTATTACATGGCCTCGCCTGACCTGGAGATCCAGGAGGTCAACGGTGAGCAGTAAGCTTGGCATGTGTCTGTCTTACAAGGGCTGGGACGCAGGAGAGCAAGGTGAGATGGGAGTTAGGGAGTGAGCAGCTTTCTAGACTGGGGAGCACCTGAGCTGCAGCAGTTATTAACTCATCGGGCAAGCCAGATGTGGTGGGGCACGCACTTGGGAGGATGAGGCAGGAGGATGCCTGAGAGTTTGAGGCCAGCCTGGGGCTACATAGTGAGACCCTGCCTCAGGAAAAAGAAAGAAAAGATTAAAAACATTCTTAACTCACAGCCAGCTGCTTATTAAATATTTGGTAAACATTTATCCAAACAAGACTGACCAGGTCTGAGAAGGTTGAGGAATGGGGTCTTTAACCAGGAACAGGTAAACAAACAAAATCATTTCAAGTCATGATGACAGGAAGGCAATAAAATAGGTAACAGGACAGCGAGCAAGGGAGCGGGGTGTGAGGTCAGGTATCAGTCTGGCTGCCTTCCCAGGACTCAGATCGCAGTGGCAGTGTGCATGGTCGGTCACAGCAGACCCTCCACCCTGGGCTGCTGAGGTCCCAGAGTTGAACAAGTTGCTTCATCAGTCGCCACTGATAGCTCAAGGGAGGCTGAGCATTCAGTCTAGCAGGGCAGCCACGTGCCGGTCATGGCCGCAGGGAGGGTCTGTCGCTCAAAGAAGAATGGAGGGAGGGGAACAAGGGCTGCTCTGGCCACAGCAGTGGGCTCGGGCTTGTTTCCTGACCTTGGTCCCGACTCCCGCAGCCACGAACACCACACAGCCCATTCACATGGTCTACGTCCCCTCCCACCTGTACCACATGCTGTTCGAGCTCTTCAAGGTGAGGATGTCGGGCTGGCCCTGCCAGGGGAACGCTGGGGTTGGCCCTTCCGAGGCACCATTGGGGCTGGCCTTTCTGTCAGCCTGTTCCTCCTTCCCTCCCAGAATGCCATGCGAGCCACCGTGGAGAACCACGAGTCCAGCCTGGTTCTCCCCCCTGTCAAGGTCATGGTGGCCTTGGGTGAGGAGGATCTATCCATCAAGGTATGTGGCCTCTGACCGTGGATGGGAGGACAGTGGGCTGGTCAAGGGGGTCGGCGTGGGGTCTTGCCACGTTCCTTGTCCCCTAGATGAGTGACCGAGGTGGGGGCGTCCCTTTGAGGAAGATCGAGCGCCTCTTCAGCTACATGTACTCCACGGCCCCCACCCCGCAGCCCGGCACTGGGGGCACCCCGCTGGTGAGAGGCTCCCCCATCCTGCCATCCCCTCCAGATGCCTGTCTCTCGGTCACTTCTTCCTGGCCTCTGCCCCTCTCATCCCACCCCTCCCTGTGCATGGCCACCTGCCTGCCCTGCGTCTGTGTGCCTGCCCTGCTGTTGCCCTTCCTCCATCCTCCAGTTCCCACTGTCCTCCCACACAGTTACAGCCTCTCTTGCGCTGCTTAGCTTGCTGCTGTCTCCCTGTCCCTCCTGTGCCGAAGGCAGGGCCAGGCTTGGGAAGCTAAGGCTCGGAGGAGCATGTGGCCCGCTCGCTCTCTGCCCAGCTTTCCTGTCCTTCACTCCGCCCCACCCCATTCCCCACCACACCCCAGTTCGGACCCCTGCACCAGCCCAGCCCAGCCCTCCTCTCCCTGTCCCTCTCGCTCCAGGGCTGAGCGTGCGGCCCCCATCACACAGCCCTCCTGTCCCCCGCAGGCTGGCTTCGGTTACGGGCTTCCCATTTCCCGCCTCTACGCCAAGTACTTCCAGGGGGACCTGCAGCTCTTCTCCATGGAGGGCTTCGGGACGGACGCCGTCATCTATCTCAAGGTGAGGCCCGCTGCAGCAGGCGAGCTGGCAGTCCGCTGCCCCCATTAGGTCGCCTGCCCTTCCCACCACCCTTTCCTTGCTCCAGGCCCTGTCCACAGATTCGGTTGAGCGCCTGCCTGTCTACAACAAGTCCGCCTGGCGCCACTACCAGACCATCCAGGAGGCAGGCGACTGGTGCGTGCCCAGCACGGAGCCCAAGAACACGTCCACGTACCGGGTCAGCTAGGGGCCACCCATGCCGGTGCACAAGAGGATGGACTGCTGTCTCTGGGTCTGGCCACCACGGGGACCCGCCCAGCCCTGCCTGAGCAGGTGGAGCTGGGGGGTCTTTCTGATGACCAGGTTCTGTCTGGCAGTCACTGTGGTGACCGTCTGTGGTGGTCCCCAAGTGCCAATCTGTCTCCATGGAGACACCCAGGTGGTCTTCCTGGGGTCCGGTCTTTGTGGGGGGCCGGGGGTCGTGGCTGCGCCCTGACGGGATGTCCCTGACACCTGTCCCATGGCGGTCACGCTCCTGGCAGGGGCCCTGGGTCCTCCTCACTGCCCGCCACAGCCCCGGTCTTCCAAGCGATGCCTTGCTTGCCTTACTCTTCACCACTGGGGCACACTGCCCTGGCTGCTGTCAGTGTCAGGAAGGGCCCAGGTGCCCCCAGATCTGAGAGTGGATGGGAAAGGGGGTGCACTCTCGGCCCTGGGTCAGGGTCCTGGTCTTGGATTTCCTCCCTCCACTGGGCATTAAGGTCAAGGTAGGTAGGTGTGACGGGCATAGCTCTCACCAAGCTCACCTCTAAAGGGGAGGAACCCAGGAAGACCCAAAGGTCACTGGCCCAGCCAAGCACCCTTGGCGACTTGGCCACAGTGGCGGTGCCTCCCACGCCCTTGCCCAGCACGTCCGCACATGCACGGCCCTACCTGCCACCACACACCCACTCTTGTCTGCCTGAGCTGCAGACCCCAGGGCGCACTGTGCCCGGTGCCCCCCCATGTTCTCTGTACATAGCTAGTTTTGTAACCCAGATGCCCCTGCCCTTCCCTTCGGCACACAGGAGGTTAGAGCTGTGTGCTCCTCCCAGGGGCCGTGACAGCAACATCCACAATAAAGAGATGGAATGAGGCTGTGGCCTGGCTGTGTTGCTGGGGGAGGGGATCCATGCACACGCACACACACACACACACACATACATGCACACGCACACATACACACACGCACACACACATACACACACACACACGCACACACACAAGCAGCCTGCAGGGCCTATGACCGATACATGGTGCCATCAGGACCTGCCCAGCATCCACTGTGGCATAGCGCCAGGCAGAGCCACACACTCGGGCCACCTGACTGCCCAGCACCCAGGGATGGACCTGTCGCCCCACCACACCCAGAGCCCACTTTAGTCCCTGACCCCCCAGCTGGGGCAGACAGAAATGTCACTGGCACAGCGTGTTTATTGAGAGAAATTGAGGACTGCCTCCCCCCACATGCAGGTGGGCACCCACTGTGGCTCCTGACCACCCTCCCCACCGGGCCCAGTGGTGCCATGCTCCGAATCTAATGTCCCTCCGAAGTCCCCCTCTGCACGGATGGCCCAGGGGAAGAAGGAGCTGGTCTCAGGGACGGAGCTGGCCCTAAGCCACAGCCCTGGCAGGAAGGAGGGTGTCTGCATGCATTGCTGCTGTCCACTGTTCCAGCGTGTGGGAGGGGCGAGTTGCTATCAGAAGCCCTTGGGCCCCACCAGTGACTGACCAGTGTCCCCGGAAGTGGAGCTAGCAGCTGGTCAGCATGGCCCTGGCCTCTGTCTCTGGCCATCTCCTACGAAGGACAGACGCCATCCCCAGGCTGCTGGTCAATTCTCCCCACTGCTCGGGAGCCAGAGCCCGCCCTGAGGCTCAGCAGTGGCCTGGGCAGATGGGGGACAGCTGATGAGCTTCTAGGCGACACCCCAGATTTTGCCTCTGCCTGGCTGGGGTGAAGACTCGGCCCCACCCAGGCCCTGGTGGGGAGGGGACCCTTCTGTCCCTCCAGCTCGCCCATTTGCTGTATCCCAGAGAGGGCTCAGGTGCACTCTGAGGGAGCAGAAGCAGGACCTGGCTTGGAGAGCGCCCAGTGCTGAACAGCCCTTCAGGAGGGCAGACCTGGGTGGGCACCATCCCACCCGCAGTGACCCACAGGACCAGGAGAGGGTGGGCGGCCTCCTGTCCTCCTCTGAAGTCCCCTCAGGGGCTGCGCTTCCCGCTTGCTGCTCTCTGCCACCCTGTGGAGGAGCTGGTTGGGAGTCTACCCTGAGTGTGACTTGCTGCAACGCCCACTGGACCCCCGCAGCCACTGCAGAGGGATACAGCTCCATCACCTACCTCGGCCAAGATGCCCCGCCTTTTTGGAGCCTGCGGGCCCCTGGCCTGTCACAAGACCCCTAGGGGACAGGCAGGCGAGCACTCTAGCTCATTTCCAGCCCAGCAACACCCTGGCCGGAGGCAGAGGGTCAGCTGGACCCACGGGCACCTGGACTTGCTTCGGCCTGGGCCTCTGTGCCTCTTCTCCTCCTCTGCCTCCCCCAGGAACTCTGTGCCAAGCAAGTCCTGGAAATCGGGTTTATTTGGGGACCTCTCCCTGGGGCCTCCCTCCCGGAGACTCTGGGTCCAGGCAGGGAGAGGGGCGAGTGCCCCAAGAGCGTGGGCCAGGCCAGCCCATGCCTGGCACAGGCCCAGCCTCCCTGGTGAGGCCTGTGCCCACTGAGCCGAGCCGGGCTGCTGTGCCCAGTGCTGTGCGCCCTGCCCGCCCCTAGCTCTTCTTGGCCTCCTGCTCACGCCGACGGAGCTTGTCCCGCTGCCGGGCGGCCTTCTCCTGCGCCTTGCGCTCCTTCTCCGCGGCTGCCGCCAGCTCCTTCAGCTTCCGCTTCACCAGTGCCCGGTCGTGCGCGTTGCTGAGGCCCAGGCTCTGGGGAGGAATCCCAGGGTTGGGAGGAGGAAAGCTCACTGGAACCATCCGCCAAGCCCCGCCAAACTGCCTCCCTCTGCAGTTAGTGCTCCCTGCAGAGCCTTGAGGTCCTCCCAGAAGTGGCCTCTTCCTGCTCCCACACCGGGAGCTGCCTGGCCCAGATCTGGAGTGCGAGTCGCTGGAGAAGAGGGCTGACAGGGAGACCGGCCAGGAAGTCGGGCAGCGATCAGAGGCCCTCTCTACCCATCTGTGACACGCTGCCACCAGCTCCTCGGGATGGGAATCTGTCAACCGACCGGGGCTGGGGGCGTGGGGGGTTCACTGGGAAACATATTCAGTCCTGAAGGACAAGATCAGCCTGGAGCAGAGCTCAGATGAAGTGGGGGCTTGGCTTTCAAGTCAGATCGGGGTCCCCTGCGAGAGGGCAAAGATTAGACAGACCTTGCCTAGAGGTCACAGGTCAGGGCAGTGACTGGAGAGGTGTGGAATGGTCAGCCAGGGATGGTGAGGGTGAGGGTCCCCGCTGGGTCGTGACCTCGCCCTTTGACCTACCTTCAGTTTGCTTCCATCCAGCTGCAGCAGCTGCGGCCCGTCCACCTGCCGGGCAGCAAACTTGGCAGCATACTGCTCCAGACTGAGGCTCTGCAGCCACTGGCCCACCTGCTGGCTGGTCCAGTGCTGGACGGCGGGGAGGGGCTCATCCAGGAACTGGGCAGAGAGCACAGGACTGAGGGGGCCTGGCCCGCATGCCAGCCACCCCCCCCCATACCCAGGCTGGCCTTGCTCACCTCATCTGAAGACTGGGACAGGGTGTGGTAGGGGTAGGAGCACTTGACTTCCTCCCGAGGGCCGCTCGGGATCTTGGGGCTGCTGCTAGGTGGCGTGGAGTCATCACTCAGGGTGGATTCCTGAACAGGAAGGTGGAAGTTTACCGCCAAGCCAAGGGAGCCCTGTGCTGCTGAGTCCACCCCATCTAGATGCTGCCAAAGCCCTGGTCTAGGCCCCACGTTAGCTGGGTGCCCCTGCGTATGAGCCAGGATGTAACCCTGGTAGGACGCAGGCACAGGCCATGCTGACTCGTGTGAGGCACCATCCAGGGGACCTGGGGCTACAACTAAGCCAGACAGAATCTGGAAAAAGGTGTTGCTTCCTACAGGCAGCCCACTGGGATTCCCCCACGCTGGGCCAGGGGTCCCAGGTATACACCTCCCACCTGACCTCTAGCTTCCCAGTCAGGCGTTTGCCCTCACTGGGCTGTGCCTTGATGGCCATGGTGTCCCCAGGGCCTGGCACAGGGGAAGGGAGAGAGTGAGAGACAGAGGAAGTGTCTGGATGAGTCCTGGGTAAACCCCTGATTCCGGACCTTCACCTGCTCATCTGCCCAGTGGGGAGGAGAGTGCCTGCCGCCCTTCCTTGCTGTTAAAGCAAAAACAAGTATCTGGGGCTTTATACACTGTGAAGTGCTGTGTGCACAGGGACTGCCTCTGTTCCTCTGTCTTACGTCACAGGGCTGTGAGCTTTCAGGGCATGGGGCTGGGGTCCTAGGTATCTCTATTTCTGAAGCTTCACCCACCAGGCAGGCGCCCGGCTTTTAACAGGCTGAGGCATCAGAACTGAGCCAGACAGAACCGTTAGCTGAGTCAGGCCTGGAGACACAGGCTGGGTGAATGGTAAAGGAATTGGCATTCAGAGATGAGGGTGGAACGCAGCAGGCAAATGAATGAGTCCAGGAATGAATGAATGAATGAATGAATGAATTCCTCAGAATTTGAATGCGTGCGGAGAAGAATGAATGAATTCAGAGGATGAATGAAGTAGCAGGTCTCTGAGTGGCTCTGCAGATGAGTAAAGGGACCGCAGGGAGGCCTGGACCCCAGCAGGAAGTATGTCCTCATGTCACCTGAGTCCGGGGCCAGCTTGGGGACAAGAAAGTCCCAGGCTTACCTGGGAGGCTGACTTCTTAGGGCTGAAGCCCTCATGTTTTGGGGAGCAGGCCGGGGAGGTGGTGCTGCCTGAGGATGCCGAGCCTTTGCCACTGTCCGTGAACCAGGAAAAGGGCAGGAACGGGGAACCCCCTGACCTGCCGGAGCCCTCCACTGCCTCCCTGTGGAGAGGAGAGAGCGTCCGCGTGGGCGTGGGCCCCCAGGGTCCGTGGGGCTGTGGCAGGCTGCCGGGGTACCTCTCACCTGCTGCCCATGGACAGACGGTTGCTGCCCTTCTCCTTCCGGCTCTTGCCAGTGGATGCCCGGCGGAGGGTGACCCTGTGGGAGGGAGGGAAGTGGGCCAAGCTGCCCACGGTGCCACCCTTAGCCCTGCAGCTCTGAGCCCTGTGTCCTGCGTCCTCCACTTACCCCAGGTCCAGGAACTTTCGGCGAGTCTTCTTATCCAGGCTGATGGTGGGGCTGGCGGGCTCGGGAGGGCTGGCGTCCCGGCTGTCATCTTCGGGGGAGAGAGGGAAGGAAATACCCCGAGTGGTGGCTTGCTGGGGGACCGGGGAAGAGGAATTCTCTTGACTTAGAATTGGGCAGCCTGGCTGTTCTTCACTAGCGGCGTGACCTGGGATACACAGCATGACCTCTCTGAGCTGCCTTCACCTCCAATATGAGGAAAATAGCACCTGCCCCTTTTGTGGTACCTAGCGTGGTGCGCAGGAGAGCCTTTTACAAACTGTAAAGCACTTCACAAACTCAAAACGCAGGGATTACTACTACTTACTGCTAATTTTATCCTGGTTGTTTCTCTCCTAAACCAAGAGGACAGGGCGCCTCTATTTGCTCGGTTTGCCACCTACAACCCAGAACGTCCTGGCACATGTCCAGCCCGCGCTTTTAAGGGGCGCAGGGGCTCTGCAGTTCCGGCGCGCGCCGGCAGGGGCGCCACGCTCACCTTCGCTGTG